TCGATCTGCATGGTGAGGGAGAAAAAATAGAAGGAAAATTATGACATTATAAATGAACTAGTTCATTGTTTTCTTTAGTTTGGGAAAGATGAAAGAAGCAGAACTTTTGCACTACGAATGGAAATGTAATTATGCTAAGAAAAATTGAGGCACTGCGACTGTGGTTCTTTAAGAAATGTGGATAAGAACGAAGTACTCCAAGTACTCCGCTGTTGACCAGGCGGAACTGTGTGACGCAAATTTACCGGTTTAGTTTTGACCTCTTTGTAAGATGACACTGTTTTTCGCCATTTCCGAGTGAAAGTCCAATTAATCTCTTTATTTTGGACTGATTCAATAACGGTAGTCCCAAGAATTTTGTTATATATTTTCTTTTGCTTGATTTTAGTTCAAAAAGAGAAAAAGCTAAAACTAAACACGTGTTTCTCCTCGCACTATAGTACGTTGTCGACGAATGGACTGATTTGCTACATACAATGTTTGTCTTACAGCATGCTTTTCGACAACGTTCATTTGTCGTCGACCAGGAACCTCCTGGCTGTTGATATTAATCGATTTTCCAACATTTATCTCTTTAACTGCTTGAATAAACCTGTTCAATATCTCGTTAATTTCACTCACTTGTCTCACCTGAATATTTTGACATGTTGAAAGAACCTTAGCCGCTTCAAGGCGATATTTTCTCTCTTCTCGTATTACATTTCGATCTAGATCAACTAATTGATTTTCAATAATTTCACAAAGTTGTTTGGATATTTCGTGCTTTTCGGTCAAGGATGAACGATTTCGTTCAGTGGCACAATTCATTTTTGTTTTTAGTCGATTTAAGTCTTTGATTCGTCGATTCCATTCTTTCATTTTATTATCCACTTTTCGTTGGCACTTTTCGACCGGTTCATGAGCTTCTTTCAATTCCTGTTTGTAGTCAGCTGCCCGACGATATTTTTTATCTGAATAGTTCGCTTTTGCCCAATCCTCGAGACAATTGATTGTCATCTGACTGACTTTGACAAGAGGATCACTTGTAGCAACCGCAGTCTGCACAGCCAATTGAAAAACAGCTGATAGAGCGCTTTTTGTTCGTTCATCATAGTTTTGTTTTAGACTTGTTGTTGAAAAACTTTTCAAATGATTTGAACCCTGAGTGTGAATATCACAGAATGTTTGAACCACTTCAATTGAGTCATTAGCAGTATGATAACCTATTTCATAAATACATTTACCAAATGTGCCTTTTCATGGTAGTGGAACTATATACTTACATTGATTCAATATTGTTCTCACTTGTTCCCAGTCTTTTTTGTTGTTCGTGTTCGATTTTTCTAAGTCAGTATGATCATCACAATAATCAGCACTAGGCTCAAGACAGAATAAACTGGCCATGTAGAGTATTCAGTTGGAATAAAACCGAGTGAGCATGCAAGAAGGATTATGTTCGTATTTATAGCATGATTGAGAAAGTTAGGGGTAAAAACCCATTGGACAGCTCTTTTCTTTACGGTATCCTTTATTTATTTATTCAATATTATATTCTCTTCCTTGGAGAGACATATGTATGGATTCAGCAACAACCAATCATAAAGAGTGAGAAACAATCTCTGACGTTTTGTCATCACGGTTTATGTCTATATTACTATACATCAATCAGACCAAAAAGAGATCACCATTTTTATTATTTCTATAATAAAGTTTCTAAAAATATATCTCTAATAAGTCTCTAAAAATAACCATATGCTCGTGATCTCCTCAACATGTAAAACCACAAGTTGTATGGACTTAAGAACTTTTAACGACAGTAATAAGGAAAAGACGACAGGGCAACATAGGCACTAGTTCTCAAATAATGATGCAAAATTTGAAGAGAAGACTTACGAGAGTATCAAGCGTACGTGAAAAAGCACATAATGTGGTTAAAACATATTTCTCAATTTTCCGGTTCCTTTTATTCGATTTTGGATCTACAGTTAGCTATAAATTCGATTCTTAGATCATAAGAAAGTTTGGTTGATGATTATGATCATTTTTAAATCAATGGCTTTTTTTGGTTCTTAGAACTGAAAATTTAATAAATAAGATTTCTACAACTAAAAAGGACAATTTTTACTTGCAAAAGGAATGCAAAACATATCGATCCGCTAGATTTAGGAGCATTTTATTTTTTTTTATTTATATAAGCTTTATTCTCTCAGAATACAAGCGAAAGAATGTTCCATTATAGTATTCTAAATTAAAACTATCGTAAAACACAAAATCAATTTTTGTATGAATAGACATTCGAACATGTGAACTTAGCTTTGTAGTAAGCTACAAACTAAATTCACCGTTCTGTATCTATATTCTGTACAACTGAAGTTGTGCAATCGACTCGATGTTATCAGGAGCATTTTAATTGAGCAGAAAACTAGCGTAGTAAGGTAAGTCCAGCCCTCTAAAACATAATCGCAGCTGAACACATTAGTCATTATTCTTATTCTTTTAAAACAGATTATTTACTTCTTCATGAGTCTAAAATATGTGCCTCATATATACTTGAGCATTTGGAAATTCTACTTGTAGTTCGATTTTGAGCGCGAAACATCAACAATGAGATGTCTGGAATATTAAAGGATATTTGTCTCTCATACTGTGTGGACCAAGGCAGATAAAGTCCAGAACTGTTTTCATCGAGTCAAGAGATTAGACTAGAATAATATCCTTACATATCCAAAATTTTATTGCTTCAATCGAAATGCTAGCCAGTATCTCTCTTCTCGTTTGACGCAAACGTATGAGGAAGCGAGAATGCGTATCTAGTAAGTCGATCCTTCTAAAACGTGATCGCAGCCGAACATATTAACCATTATTCTTATTCTTTGAAAATAGATTATTTACTTTTTCATGAGTCTAAAATATGTACTTTATATATGCACAAATATGTCGTGACTTCTTGAGTTCCTTGTTGGAACTAATATTAGTAACCTTCAATATCAACGAAATGCTATTTCTTTGTATCGGAATAAGTAAATGTTGCATGTCATGGACTACAATCTATTAATGCAATAACTAAAGTGGTTCCTTTGAGCGAATGCTGTCACACATTCAACTATGAAGTTAATCAAATTTAGTTATAAAAACAATAGAAATAGTCACAAAATAAATATACTTCGAGAGATTATTTCCAAATAAAACCGGATTAAACAAATTTGAATACACTAATGATGTCATCAAATTATGACACACCATGATGTCATGAAATGTAGTTTGCCAATCTGTGATGAAATTTAATGGAATCATCTTATGATAAATAAGAGAATTTCTCGAATTGTGTTCATCTTTTCGTTATCATAACGCAACAAATCATTATATAAAAAAATGAGACATAAACGATTAAAAAATATGAAATAAACTGATTGAATATGTCTATTTAGATTCTTTCGCCTGCGTCGAACCACATTGTCCCTATTTCTAATCAACAGTTACGATCTTTATCCTGCTTTCTTGCCAGAACATTTCGACAATAAAACTTCAAAGATAAAGACTGACAACTAAAACGAATCGAATGAGAATTGGTGACGTTTTGCTAGCAGATGTGACTGATGACTATGACAAAAACATTTCTGAGGATGATGACTCGAGTTCGGATTCTGATCGCGCCATTGATGTTTCTGAAACTGAATCCGATGATACATCCACTGATGAATATATCTCACAAGACAATGACTCTGACACTTCTGTTAGCAGTAGTGATGAGGACAATGTTCACCTAACGAATCAACCTGAAGCATTGGAAATAGATGGTGTTGTGTGGTCGATGCAACAACTACAGCTCCTGGACGTTTTCGTGCCACTAATGTATTGAAGAAGAAACCAGGTGACGTTACTCCCGTCCAAACCATATTAGATACATTTAAACTTTTCATTACCGATGAGCTGCTGAATGCAATTGTGCTGCAGACAAATAACTAAGCCAAGCAATATTTTGATCAGCAGGACAAGTTACGATTGACTACTGATGTTTACCATATAGGTTCAATTCAATGGAAGCCACTCGATTGTATTGAGTTAGAAGCCTTATTCAATTTAGTACTTATTCAAGCTGATGTGCGTCATGCTAAGCATGAATCAACTACCGAATTAAGGGATATCAGCAACAACGTTCCAATATATCAGACAACAATGTCGTTACAACGCTTCAAAGATCTTCTACGATTCCATCGTTTTGACGATCGACAACATCGGAACAAGTCTGGAAGTCTTTCTCTTCTCCGATTCCTCTTTGAACGTTTCGCCAAGCAGCTTCCTCGACTCTTGGTGCTACCTGAGAACATGACTGTCGATGAACAGTTAGTTATTCCTCGTGGTCGATGCTCGCTCATACAATGCGTGCCAAGCAAGCCCGTGACGTATGTGTTGAAATTTTGGTCCTTAAGCGACCCCGAAACTAGATACGTCTTAGAATTGGACTTATATAGCGGGAAAACAGGCAATACCGTTGAACATAAATAAAATTTCATCACAGATTGGCAAACTACATTTCATGACATCATGGTGTGTCATAATTTGATGACATCATTAGTGTATTCAAATTTGTTTAATCCGGTTTTATTTGGAAATAATCTCTCGAAGTATATT